ACAGAGCAATGTCACTGTGCCCAGTAAGGGGTGTTTTCAGAAAACAAATCCCACAACAAACAAGCCCATCCCTGCAAGTGACCACTTCAGATGGTGCAAGAAGAGTTTTGTGATTATGAATCCTTGGGATTATCCATCTGTTGCTACAGCAGAATCACAGAGCAGTTTGGGTAGCAAAGTTTCTTAGAAAACATCTGGGTCCAGCCCCCAGCCATGGCAGGGACACCTTCCACCTTCCACTCAGTGTGTCATCACATCTTTCATTGCATCTTGTCAGAAAATCTGTGTACTGCTCCTCACCAAGGAACAATACTCCTTTTAATTACTCTTTTAGATATGATTGGCTCAGGTTTTCCTGACTACTTTGAAAGAAAACTCTGCAGTTTTTAATTTGTTTTTGTTTACATTTCACTGCCACAATTTCAAGGAGGGTGGACATGTCTGTATTATGGAGAAATCCTTGCATGGATGAGAATTTAACAATCTGACTGTGCAAACAAAACATTTTCTGAGTGCAAAAGCACTGCACATTCTGGCCTCGCTTGTTCAGAGGAATATAAATGAGTGGGTCAGATGGGAATCTTTATTCTTTCGTTTTTAAATATCTGCTAATGAAGCAATTGTCAGAAGGCTGAGTCATAATGTAAATGTGTTTCTGACCAAAGGTCTGACTACTCCAGCACACTTCAGAGTATCCAGAGGAGTACATCTAATCTGCATCCACTCTAGTTATTCATCAGACTCCTGCAATTATCTCAAGAGTGTTGGAAGGAAACAAGCAGACACAGGGAAATTCTTGGAGCAAATTTCGATCTAACTGAACCGAAGCTGCTACTTCTACTACGAGAAGAAAGATTCTTTAAGAAGTCAAAAACAATAACAGCAAAATATGTTTGGGTTCCTCCTGGCATCAGAAAGGTGGCTAAAAATTGTTTGTTTTCAGCAAAAAGGCAGTCTTAGAATCACAGATAGAATAATTTCTCCTGGCAGGAACCTTTAAAGGTCACCTAGTCCTAGTCCCTGCAATGAGAAGGGACATCTTCAATCATGCTGCTCAGAGCCCTGTCTTTTAACAGGATGCACAAGTCCATCCCTCTGGATGCACAGGGGAGGGAAAAGAGACACCAGGGGACAGGGAAAAAAAGGAGGGAACAATGGCATTAATACAAAGAAGAACAAGCACATTTAGTTCAGATCCTTCAATATGATGCAAACTAACAGAAACCAAGCTGAAAATTATATTTTAAATTAATACAAAGTAAAATCATAATATATGGTGAGATTTAGCACTGCTCATGTAAGAATAATGACACTGTCCTTTCCCCTTGAGACTATGGGTCGTTCACAATTGTTACTCCAATATAAAAGCTTCTGAACACTTTTCAAGCACCTTCTCTAGATGGTGGATATAATAAGATGAGAATGAGATGAGAAGGTCTACACATCTTCACATCTTCTTTCCACAATTTCAAAAGATACTACCAGAATATGCAACCTCAGTATTTGTTTTCTTAATGTTAATTGTTGTCAAAGACCATGATCTGTCTTGACAGCCAGAGTACATTTATATGCAGCCTCTCAGCTGGAAAGGAGCTGGAGCAGAAGGAAGGATTTCTCTGGACCAGCCTGCTAGGACACGAGTTTAGGCTGTACAAACAGGCTCTAACTCTCAAGAAGGTATGTGCATGTGCTTGCACAGTGTTTCAAATATTTTTAACTTTGGATTGCCACCAACTAGTAAACTTTCTGTGTGCCTGTGCACATTAATTCTTTTCCTCACTCTAAACTTCCTCCCCTTCAGGGAAAATATGGCTTGAGATTATGTTAGAAAAATAAACACACTTGGCCCCAGGTCTAGGTCAAACATTGACTTGAAGAAACAATTGTGTCAGTAAATTATTTCTGGCACAATATCTGTCACCTGTTTCAAAAGAGTTGAAGGCAAACATGCCCATTCCTCAGCTTAAACAAATCTGGCCTCCATGCTGCTGAGCTGGCAAGGGATGCTTATATTCCTTTTCTGCTTTTTTTTAATCAAGTTTTAAAAGGTCCTTGTTGCCAGGTTTCTAAACAAACCATTTCAAGTCAGCTTCTGGTTTATTCTTTGTTTTCTGAGGAGGAATTTGAGGGCTTCGCTCTGAGGGTGTCAGTCATTTTCCTGTGCTTGTCTCTCCTTCTGCTGGAGAGTCAATGTCTGGGAAGGACTTAAAATCTGGGGAGTTAGAGACTAGCAGTCAAAGTACTCAATGAAAGTATTTGTGTAAACACCAGGAAATCAAAATCCTACATAATGTTAACATTATGGTATAGAAGAATAACAAAACTGAATAGGTGTAGCCACACACCTGCTCTGGAGAGCTCATTTTAAATAGATTGTTCAGGACTCACCAAGTGCAGCAACTTCTTCTGTTGATGCTTGTACCAGTTTGAAGCTTTTGTGGAATGTTATTATTAGTTGCTTCTCAGCTTGTTTCTCACTTTACCCCTTTCTCAAGGATTTTAGACCAATCTTGTTATTTTTCATACTAAATGAGGAAAACCAGATGGACAAGATGGATCACAGACAGCCTTGAAATTATGCTTGTTCTCCAAGGAAGGGATGAAATCCTGCAGTTATATCATTTATGAGAGGCTGTTTACTTTTACTGCCTCATAACTAGACCTTGGGATGCATTAATGACTAGAAATCACAGACCCTGTAGCAACCATTTATGCAAACTTTAGTGAGCAAAAAAAGAGTCATCTGTATCTTTCACGCTATGCTATAGGAGAATAATAATATCAAATAACCCAGAATATAAAATCCTGTTAGCCAAGAAGGGCAGAGGTCTAATGTTTCATTTCATAAATTTATTTTAAGAAATAAGAAAACCTGCCTTTGAGAGGTATGTCAATGCAAAAATAATTATTGCATGCAAGCCCCTCAGCATAAAATGAAATTAGACAAGAAATAAGGGAAATGAAACAATACTATTTGAATGATTAAATCAATTTTGGCTGGGGTCATGTTGCATTAAGGGAAGACATTATACAGGCAGGACTATATTTTCCCTTCCTGTCAAGAGGACTGCAGTTCATTTGACTCCTACACCTCAGCAATACACGTGCCACAGAGGAATGTTAACTTCCACTGCCATTTTAGTGGGAAATTAAATCTTTTCCTCTTCAGTACAAACCTTGTTCCTGTGACCCAGGTATTGCTGAGTTCAGGTTGTTTGAAAATGTTTTACTGGTAGTGACCTCAGCAAATTCAATTATCAAGGGCAATCATATCTCCCCCTCTCAATGTTTGAGCAGAAAAAAGTCTGATTTCATAAACAAGTTCTCCTCTCAGATCCTTTATCCTTTCCCATAGCAATTCCAGTCTGGATTCACCATATCTGAGGAGGGATAACAGTCAAGGTATGCAGCAACACACTTCAGAGCCTTATTCATTAAGACACCTAAATATTTAATTATCTTCACTGAAAAAGCCTGCAATTACAGCCCCACAGAGCAGTTTGTAAGCAGTGTGCAGCTGAACATATCTTATATTTTCTCAGGTGACTGATGACTTCATCACCAGCTTCTCTACCTGAAGTAACAATTTTCCATCTTGCATCATATCAGACATTCTGCTGAAACTCAAGACCCAAAACATTAATTTACCTTTAATTTTCTTTTTTCCCCCAAAACATATAGTGTCTAAAAAACCCCAGGATGATTCAGAGAGAGTAACATTATAGAGCATTTTGCTTTATTGCCTGGTATGCATTTTTTTTTCATTCAGAATGCACATAGAGGTGAGCCCAGCAGATGAACAGCACTGGTTTCACATCTTGCCTCAAAACTTTTTGTTTTTTTAACTCCTTCTAAGAGTTATAAAGACTACATCAAAACGTCTAGGCAGCATTTGTGTTGTGTGTCAATAGATTATTTAAGATTCCAAAGACTCTTAAGTTATTTATTTGTGTGGTTAGCATCAAACAACAAGGCTAAGGAAAGCCTGGATTTTGGATCATGTATCTGGAATTTGTTGAAGTCATTGCTGTCAGATATTACCCAGGGCAGGAGTTAAGGAAGATTCAAATAAGTGATCAGCCATTGGTGTGGGCAGAGGAGGCTGACTGAATATCAAATAAGGACACAATGAAGGGCTGTGAGGCCTTTGCTTCAGGCCACAACAAAAACTGCAGTGCTTGGGAGGAAAACACTGCTGTGACTGGGTCTTTCCATCACCACCAGGATTATTGGATTTTCTTGTTCTCATCAAATGTGCCTAAAGAGCAAAGGATGCTGCGGTGGGCGGACCATAGGACAGTTGTGATATTCTGAGGAACAAACTCGGAAAATCAACACTCATCAGTTTAAACCTCTTAATCGGTTCTATCATTTATTCTGCCTATTCTCTTTGTAAACTCCATTATAGTGCATTAACAAACTATAATACTGAAGGCAGACAAGAAATCTAATTATCTTTTGTTGCAGAGCACCATATGCTTCTTTTAACTTCAAATAATAGGCTGAAAAACATTAGTATTTTAAATAAATCTTTGACGAAGTTGAACAAGACAGAGGAAAAAAAATATAAGTTAACCAATCTCTTCTAGTTATATTGTTTTTGGCTAAACAATGGATGGGTTTACCTTTTTCACATGCTTGTTTTGCAGCATACCAAAGGGCAAATGAAAACAGGTGACAGGGTTAGTCACTTTCATGTCAGACATCATTCTGCTCCCAGCTGTGGCCCTGAGGAAGGTTTTGTTCATGGGCTTTTTTATTATTACTGTATTTTTGGCATGCTCATCTAGCTGCAAAAGCACCAGATGTCTCCATTGACTTTTTGAATAAACAAGCAAACTAGAAAATTACAATAATTTTAAATGCCTTCATATGTTGCTCATATAAAGGAGGGTCCTGTTCTTGGGGATTTATTTTTCACTCCAAAATTTTATACCGCAAAAATAAAAAGCAAACAACACCCCAACCCACCAAAACAAAACAACCCCCTGGAGCAATACCTTCTCATGGCTGATGGCAAGTGTGGATCCTCTGAAGTGGAGACCGCTTTCTCAAAAGAAGAGAAACCCAGGCACTGCCTCTCCATTCTGCTGAGCATCTGTGTGCACCAAGGAAAGTGAGGCTGTGTGGCTGCAGAACCAACCCAAGCCATGATCTCTATCCAGGTCATTTTTCCAAGCCTCATCTTTTCCAAGATCATCTATCCAGGTATTTGTGTGTGTCAAATGAGGCGTATATTTCTCCAGGAGTATCTGTTTTGGTGGTGTGTTTTTATTGTTAAATGTTTAATTGATGTTAATTATTTGTGCCAGTGGTTGGCCCCGAATTCATTTCTCCCCTGAAATAGAATAATTTCTCTTTAAGTTCTCCCAACCCTTCTCCTGTGTCACTCATCCTGATATCATTCACCTTGTTCCAGAAGGGTTTATGTCAATCTCCCTTTTTTACCACTGTAAATTCCCAACATCATTGTGTGCCCTGACCATTATTCCAGACCCTTCCCTGTCCATCACTGCAAACCATGCCCTTTGTTCTAGACCCTTCCCTGTCTGTCTCCTGACCCTCGAGGCCCCATTGGCCTAGGTGACCTGTCCTCTCCTCCCCCTCATCCCTGTTGGTCCCTGCTCTGTAATCCCGCCCCTTGCTCCTCCCCCAGCTCCCCATTGGCTGATTGATTGTACCCGCCCATTACATTGCTGCTGTATAAAATCCCGAGCACAGCTGTATTTGGGGCTGTTTGATCCCTGATTACCCCTCAGGAGCAAAGCTCCCTGGGTCTCACACCAAAGGCTCCTTGCCATCCTTTATCGCTGTCCTTGGCACTTTCACTAATACCAAAAGCAGTAGAGCATGCACCCCAACCCACTCACCTCGCCAGCCACACCCCGGAGTGCGCGGCTTTCTGGGGACATCCCACGCACCTGCTGCTGTGCTGGGGCTAGCCTGGGCTGAGCAACCTCTGTCTGTAAGGAGGAGAAACCTGTTGTCAAATGGCAACCCTTCTGGTGCTTAGTATGGAAAGATGCAGATATTTCTGTTGCTTAGCTATGACTTTTTATTTTCCCTCTTCCTTGTTCATGGGTTTTACTTAAGAGTTTGGTTTATCTGTGCAGCTCTTTCTATCAGAGGCAGCCATTAGAATTTTTTTAAATACATCATTAGTGTTCTATAGAATAATCCACAAATAAATTCACAGGATTAAAAAAAATAGTTGTTTACAATACTGAAGATACAAAAAAAAAAATAAAAAATATCTATTTTAGATACTTGGCAAGACTTCTTTTTGCTTTGTCTCCAGCCAGGAAGAGAACAGGAACCATTTGGTGTGTCTGTGCTGGTAATGAAGACATACACATGCACTACTACCAGCTCTGCTTCATGGAGCCATTCCATGCTCTTCAGGTGATTAATAAAAGTCTTTATGGTTGAGATTTAAGGAAGAGAAGGGAAAGGTTTTCATACATTTGCTCTGGTTTTCTTTTAAAGGATTACTTACATTCTTTCCAAAAGAAGCTGGCAATATTTCTTCTCAGAAAGGAAATTAATTATAACAGCAACTTCTGGTTTCATTAAATATATTAATACTTTAATATTTCATATTTGGTTAAGATCTGAAAAGAGAAATAAAAGCTGTTAAATCTTTAGCACATCACTTCAATTTCCTCAGAAAGTCTGGAGAAGCAATTCTATCTATTCTATTCTATTCATTACATAAAGGAAAAGAGGATTATTTCAAATGTATTCAGAGACCTTAACTATGCAATATCCTGGTGGAATTTGCATGTAATGAAGATTTTAGGCAAAATTCTTCTTTCAGATAAAGTCACAGTAGTATTTTTTGATTTCAGGACTGGTTCAAATGAAATCAGGTCTTGGACACATTGAGCTCTGGCAGTTTTTTGGGCAATGCCTCCTTCCATGCTCAAAGAACTGTTCATATGGGTCAGTCCTGCTCTGAGTGAAGTCTCAGGGATCATCAGTTACCAGCAATATTCTCTAATTCTGAGTACAAAGTTAAAGGATATGGAATTTACATAAAGAAATGTAATATTGGTTAGCAAAGAATTTTACTGGAAGCAATAATCCACAATTAACAATGCGTTTAACAAGGCTTAAGAATGCCCTCCTCCAGTTTCACCTGCAGGACTGGCACAACTGGCTAATACAAGTTCCAGACTGGAAAGAAATATTTTCCTTTCTAAGCATTTCATTTGGATCCTGACAGTTCTTTAACAATCCTTTGGGTTTTTGTCTTTCCACTTCAAATATATTATTCCAGGTAATAACTACAGTTATTTACCATTTTTATCTCCACCTCTCAGTGGTGCTCTGAAAGTGCTTTTTGGAGGTCTAAAATCACTGCAGGCCCCCTCAGATGGAAGTAAGTTCTCAAGACACTTCTGGCCTTTTTAACATTTTATCAGACTTTTGTATACCCACTTAAAAATTAGACCATCCATACCAGTCTTATTTGTGTTCCTCCTCTCTGCAGTGATTCCTTGGCAGCTGGCCTTGCTTTTTTGGGCTGCATGTTCTGTTTTCCTGGTATGAATCTTGCATTACTTCTGAAATGTGGGATACTGTCAAAGGGAGGGATATTGACTGCAATCATCACATAAAACTGCTGAGAAAGAGACAGAATTGATCTCACCCCTGGCTGATGAAGACTTAGCCCCATCCCAAGACTCCTAGACTAAACTTGGCCTACTAATAAAAAATGCCAAGCTACCTTCCTTTCAGGAGTCCTACTCCACATTCAGCAAGGGCTGCTGCTCTCACGTGAGCCCCCATCAGAAGCAGGCATGAGACACCTTTCTCCACTCAGTCCTTTCAGGTGAGATGCATGTGGATGTGGACAGGTCTACAAAGCCCCAAGTGGGAAACCTGTGATGCAGTGGGGACAGCGTGCAAAGGACTTTCCCCTTTAGTATCTTACACTTACTTCTTTTAAGTGGATGTGTCCTAAACTGTAAACTTAAAGATCTTAATGAGGTCCTGAGGGTGTCTCCTCATTGTACAATTTTGTATACCAAACACTTGGGAGAAAGGCCAGAATGAAATTTAAGAAATAACTGAAATCTACTTTTTGAAAAAATTGGAGATTGGGTTTTTTTTTTCTTCCAGTTGAATTACATTATCATTGTAGGTCTTTTCCAAGTGAAAATAATCTTTTCTGTCACTTTTAATGAGTTCAATCTTACACAATCCTTTGCACTAACAGCCCCTCATCCTATCTTTGGGTAGCAGCCTGTCTTCACTGCTGAGTTATACTCTGATCAACAGGAAAGGACAGAGAAATAGACAGGTTCCCTTAAGCCATCATAAATATTTCCTGCCAGGACCCCTGTGATAAGATAGAGCTGCTGATTTCCCATTGCAGCCACATCCCAGAATGGTAAAAAGGAATTGAATGGTGTTGCTGCTTAGGAAGCTCATAAAGATCTCTCCCTAGTGAGATCTCTGTCCCCACATGCCCACTCCAGAGAATGGATATGATAAAGCCTGGACATCATCCAAACCCTGCTTTCTGTCTCCAGCTTTCTGTTTTCAGCAGCCAAGCCTTTCAAATTTATACTAGAATAATGTGACCTCAGGAGATCTTTATTTAAACAAATAGAATTAAGTTGTATACCTATGTGGTTAATGACAGTTCCTGAAACACATTCAGCAGCAATTTGATGTTATTATTACAGCTAAGGTCCCAGTTAAAAATTTCTCCACTAACTCACCAAGACAAAGAGTTGACCTCAGCTTTCTTTTGGAGTCCATCAATACAGCTCCTTCTGAAGCAGAGGTGCTGTTTAAAACAAAAATAAATCCAAGAACTTCCACCTCCTCCTGTTCCATATTAGCTAAACACACTGAGTCGGCAGGGCTGCCCATCCCCTGATGGCTTGTAAGAGCTGTTTTCATTCTATTTTTAAGGGTAAAGTTCTCCGTAAAGGTGGGCTGCCTGCTGGGCTCCTGATGGATTTAAGATCTTGGTATTCAGATGAAGGCAGAAGCAGCTAAAAAGGAAGGAAAATATGGTTTAGTCTTGCTGTTGTGTTCAATGAAAGCCTAGTCACATCAGGCATTTTTTTTTAAAATTAGCATTATTTGTGTTTAGCCTTCATTAGCCCAGTTTAGATTGAGCAGTTGGTTACAGTAAACCCTACAGAAAGAAGAATCTGCTTAAACTTCTCTGCAAAGGGGCCTGGGTGCTGCATATTTATAGACATCCATGGAAAAGATTACAAATAAAAAGACACAGATGCTTTTGTGCCAATTTAATCCATATTCATATTGTGAAGCTATCAACATGAAGGAAGAAGATTCTGTTAATAAGGGAGCATCTCTGCACTTTGTCAGCATGACAGAAATGTTCTGTAGATGGGTATTTTCTTTAGAATATGCACATGGTAAAGCTCACCAAGCCTGACATTGCCCCAGAGTCTGAGTTTGTGTTCAGGGACCGATATAGCATGGTTTGGGTGGAAAGGAACCTGAAAATCCATCTTTGCAATACCTTGCCATGGTCTGCGACGACTTCCACTGTCCCAAGTTGCTCCAAGCCCTGTCCAGCCAGGGATGGGGCAGCCACAGCTTCTCTGAGCACCTGTGACAGGGCCTCCCCACCCTCACAGGGAAGAAATAGAAACACAGACTTTTATCTCTCTCAAAGCACAGCTACATGAGACCTACCTGAATTTTGAGGGTGCGATACACATTAGTTGCTGCTTGGCCTCTCTGGTCTTGGAAAGCTCTCCTGGACCCAGGGAATGGTGTGGGCTGCCAGGCAGATTCTGGTGGCCTAGAGGTGCCCAGCACTCTCAGAAGGGTTACCTGAGAAAGAGCTTTTTCTACTGCCTGGGAAAGTTCTCATGTCAGCCTGTGAAATTGCCCTGTTATCCCAGATGTCCTTGTCCATGCCTTCTACTTGCCCTCTATACTTTTAATCCTGAATTAATGTAAAACTACATCCTCCAAAACGTCAAGGCCCATTTCCTTCAATCTTCCCTTCATGAGCATTAACTCTAAACAGCGTGGGGTACGATACATACGTTTTCCTGACCGGCACACAGCTCTCTCTTCCAATCCAGATAAATTAACAGCATGAGCTGCTCTTCCCTCTGTTCAAGGTTGTAGTTTTGCACCAAGCCCGTGAAGTCTGGGGCCTGAAAAGGTCATGGGACACCTCTGGAGGCAGTGCCTGGCTGCTGGAGTCCCAAGGACAGTGCCAAAGTGTGCTCAGCCCCATGAGGTTATGCCCAGCCATCAGCAGGCAGAGGTGCTGCCACTGCACGAGGAGCTAACCCAGGAGAAGGAAGACACCTCTGTGTGAGTTTCCACTTGTTCTCCCTGATTTAAAAAAGTAGCTACATAAAAATAAGCAAGATTTTGCTTACAAACAGAAGGAGATATGATTGAAACACCTCTGTGGAGGCTTCTAAAGCAACCAAGGGAGTGCACTGTGAGTTTGTAATCAGGCCACGCCGTACTGCCGGA